TGGCCATGGGGTGGCTGTGGTGTGTCCATGGTGGTGGCCGTGGTGGTGGCTGTGGTGGTGGCCGTGGGGTGGCTGTGGTGTGTCCATGGTGGTCGCCATGGGGTGGCCCTGGGCTGGCCGAGGGGTGGCTGTGGTGGTGGCTGTGGTGTGTCCATGGTGGTCGCCATGGGGTGGCCGTGGAGTGGCCCTGGGGTGGCCGTGGGGTGGCCGTGGAGTGGCCCTGGGGTGGCCGTGGGGTGGCCGTGGGGTGGCCCTGGGGTGGGCGCTGCCCGAGGCCTCTCCCTTGCAGCGCCGTTGGCGCCGGTGGCTCTGCTGGGAGTGATGTATTGTTGTGTTCTTTCCCGTCCCTGCTGCACCTTAATTCCTCGATGCATTGAAAGGTCAGTGAGCTAAACAGTAATAAACTCACAGGGTGATAGAGTGAGGGATAAAAGAGGGAAACAATGGCCACCGCGTGTGAGCTTATATGTCAAAAAATACATATATTACCACTGTATTCAAATCAAGAGTAATTTATAAAGGCAGGTGCTGGTAGGAGCAGCCTTTTTGCTGGCCTATAGCAGAATGCTCCTCTGTGCTGAGGGGCCTGCGAGATGCTCTGGCTCCTTCCCAGACAACGTGGGGAGTGTTCGACCTGCAGCCAAGGGGCTGCTGCTGACGAGCCACGTGTCTCACCGGTGACAGAGTTCATCAGTTTTGCAGGCCCCTGCTCCCAGGGACACCAGACACTATTAGTTGTGCTGATCTGCTTCATATAGTTCATAAGGAAAGCTCCGAATTAACACACAGCTTAATTCTTGTTAGAATTAGTTAATCAACTCGTGGCTTTGCCATTCAAATGAATGATGCGTCTCACTCAGGGGCAGGATAAATGTTGTGTCCCCACACACACTCTGTCATCCCTCTGCCTGCGGGGGTCCGCGCTCCGGGCGGGATGCTCTGGGCGTGGGAGCATTGTGTGGGATGGAGAGGAACGCGGCGTGCCACCCCTGTGCCAGCAGCCCCCGAGACGCGCCGCGCCGCGCCGCGTGCGACACCCCGAGCGCCTCCGTCACTGTCCTCACCCGAGCTTCCTCCTGTGGCCGGTCCTGCAGCCTCAGCGCAGCCTCAGCTCCTGCTGCTGAAGCTTGGGGGCTGCTCACTCCCTGGGTCAGGTTCATACAGAAGGGTGGGGCCTTTGGAATATTAATTTGAGCCTGGTGGATCATGTCACTTTGGATGAAACCTTCTCACTTTGGCCTGTTGATGGAAGTACATGATGCAGAAATCACTGCAATTGTACCAAATTATTTTGTTGCAGGTTTTGGCTAGGTATCTGCATTTGGGAGCAGAGTGGGACTGTGATGGGATGCTGGGAGGGAGATGAGTTCCATAGTGAAAGCAGGAATGCAGCTGAGGAATAACAGCTGGAATAGAGCACAGTAAACATGGACTGAAAGAGGGTCCAGAAGCTAAAAGGAAAAACAACAGCAGAAATCATTTATGAGGAGGGAAGGAGAGCTTGAGTGGATTAAAACCAGGATGTTATTGAACATTCTGACAGCAGAGCAGAGGAGGAGAGTGACAAACAGGGGAACAGCTCACCAAGGAAATCACCCCCGTGTTAGGGCTCTGCAGGCCAGGAGCTCTGCCAAGGCAGTGGGGCCTGGCAGACGAGGCAATGAGGGATGGGTGCAGCCCTCCCTTGGCCAGGCACCACCACCCCTGCTGCTGCAGGGACTCCCAGGTGTGGCATCACCTTCCCTGGCTGCAGCATGGGTGGCCTGAGCCGTGCCAGGGCTGTCCCCAACACGTGTGTGCCAGCTCAGGGACACGTCTGACAATGCGTGGTATCACCAGCTTGTGCCTGTGGACCTCTGAACAAGCAACAGAAATAATTTAAAGAGATGATGAGACATATTTATTATTCCCATGAAATTATATGGAATTATAGTTTTAAATGAAGGTGACAGGTTTAAATTGTGTATTTTAGAGCAAGATTAATGCCTTGTGCTTTCTTGAGTTGGAAAGTTGGCCAGTGGGGGGGTCATCTTGGGAGATGGGCTGTGTGTCCTCCTTGAGATAGTCAGTGTGGAATCCTGTGCTGTCCCCCAAGTGCAGGGAGCACCCTGCTGGTGCCCAGGTCCATGCCTGGCAGCTGTGTGTTGCTGGCACATCTGGCACAGCCTACTCAGGTACTGTTCCTGCTGTGTATGGCAGCAGAGAGGGTCCCGTGGCACTGCTGGACTGTGTCTGGTGGGGCTGGCTGGTGTGCTGGGGCAGGGCTGGGGCAGGGCTGTGCCCGTGGGGTGCAGGGGCAGGGCAGGGGCAGGGCTGTGCCCCTGGGGTGCTGGGGCAGGGCTGGGGCAGGGCTGTGCCCCTGGGGCGCAGGGGCAGGGCTGTGCCCGTGGCCCCCGGGCAGGGGGTGTCACAGAGGGCAGGCGGTCAGCGAGCGGGCAGCGAGCGGGCAGATGCAGAAGTACTGACTGTGTTTTCTCTTGTTCTCTCTTTTCTGCCCAAGGTTTGAGCATCCGAGGAGCCCAGGAGGAAGACCCTCCCGATCCTCAGCTAATGAGACTAGACAATATGCTTCTGGCAGAAGGAGTCTCAGGTCCGGAGAAAGGTGGGGGATCGGCGGCAGCAGCTGCAGCCGCAGCAGCCTCTGGAGGGTCTTCAGATAACTCTATTGAACACTCAGATTACAGAGCCAAATTGACCCAGATCAGACAAATCTATCACACAGAGCTGGAGAAATATGAACAGGTCAGACATCAGCCTCTCAGTTGTTCGTGTACCTGACACTGCTCTCCTCTGCTTGCCAGTGCCCACCACTGCCCACTCTGGACCACAACCCTTCCTCCCCTTCCCCAGCCCTCTGCCCAGAGACAGCCACGATGCGAGTCTGTTGTCTGTTGAGCTCCAAGGAGCTGCTGGCTGGAGCCAGGACGCATGTCTTGCATGTCTGAGTGTTTTCTGTTGTCTGTAACTGCACAAGAGCAGCACCCAAGCCCGTGTTTCTCCCCTTTGCCCAGCCCAGAGAAGGCAGAGAGGAGGAGAGATGTCTGTCACTCCGTGCCACCCTCTGCCCTGATGAGGTCTCACACAGAGGTCTGGCAAGTTGGGGAGCACAGGCAGACAAGGGCTGCTTTGGCCATCTCAGCCCACAGGAGCAGGTGGCAGGATACTCTGGCACGAGACTTGGCCACGGCAGGTCAGCTGGAGCAGGCTGGAAGAGAGTGGGCAGTGAGGCGTCAGCAGAGCACCTGGCCCAGGCTTGGGGACAGGAACTAGGGAAATCCTGCTTCAGGCAGATTGCAGCACAGTGCCTTTGTTTGGAGTGAAGAGCATGCTGCAGAGACCTGTGGGTTTGTGTTCACCACTGGGACCTGGTGACCCCACACATCGGCCACGCCGCTGGCACTGAGAATTGCCACACGCTGCCAGGTGCCAGCAGCACCGTGTGACTCAGGTGCCAGTGGCACTGCCTGGTCTGTGCTGTCTCTTCCACTGTGTTGTTCAAGTGGAGGACAAATAACTGAGCAAACACCTGTCAGGGTCTTTGTGCAAAGGTGCTGTTCTCCCCTGACCCCCAGGGCCCAGCAGTCCTGCGTGGAGCCCCGAGCCCCGCCGGGTGCAGCGCTGGGACAGGGGTGGCTGTGGCATTAACGTGGCTGGTACAGGCACAGCACACAGGCTGCAGGCAGATCTGGGCCACGGAGGCAGCAGCTCGGTGCTTGCAGCCGATTTCTGGCAAACATCCTTGGACTCTAATAAGTTTAATGATGTGGGGGAAGCAGGAGCATTTTTTGCCCTGTAGCTCCATTTACAAAGGTTTCGGCTGAAATCTCACAGCCATCCGTCCACACCACAGGAAATTTTGGAGGATGCTCAAATGCTGCTGGAGCAGGAGAGAGAGGTAGAGCTGAGGATGAGACATGCATGCTTCCCCACGGATCCTGACACCCAGCCACGTCTGCTCAACAGACATATGATGATTTCCCCAGCCTGGCAGCAAACTGTCTCCTGCTGTTTTGTCTCACTGCAGTGCCCGAGAGGCAGCCAGGCCTTGGCATCTCAGCCTCTGGCGCCACAGGTTCTGGGAGGCAGGAGCCCTCCTGCAGCGGGGAGCCCGCGTTGGCACCTGCCCGCAGCGTGAGCCGCTCCCGCCATCCTGCCCGGATGGAACGGCAGCAGGAACCAGAGCGCCTTCCTGGAGACGCTTTCCAGGCAGAGTTTGATCCTGATATTTGTTGCCAGTCAGGGGAATGCACTCAGGGAAAAAAAAAAAAAAAAAAAAAAAAAAAAAAAAAAAAAAAAAAAAGGAAAGAGAAATGGAAAGTGTGTCACGCCATCACCCAGCGCTCCTCGCCGGGCGCCGGGAGAAATGGCCGCGCACAGGCAGCGCCTTCCATAATTTACAGCCCCTATAACAGAGATGACATATTGAAAGCTATCTGCTGTAATTACACTGAAATACATTTTTTGCTGTAGGCAAAAGTACTGTAAGGGTCCCAGGCCTTCTGGAACAGCTGGGAACCCACTTCCCAAGTTCACACATGTCTCCTGAATTCACCCCGAATTGGGGTGAGGTGTGAGCTCAGAAGCCACCACCAGCCTCACAGAGCACTGGCTGCCAGCCTGCCCCTCAACATTGTTTTGGGCCATTTCCTCTCTTTTTCCTGTGCACTCGTGATGAAGCACTGAGGCAGCAGGAGCATCCCTGCTCCTACAAGGTTTCTGAGCAGGTTAACAAGGCCATCACTTATAACCTGACATTATTAATAATGTCTCGGGCACCAAGCAGAGGCCTGAAAAATAGTCCTGGAAAAGGGATCAAGTAGCTTGGACACTATAAATAAACAAGAGAAACAAGACAAAGCATCAGAGTCTTCTGAGCTTCCTCCCACTGTGCAGTGTGAGGCAGCTCTGCAGAGGGGAGGTGCTGGTGGAGATGAATTAAACCCAGGTTCTCCAAGCAGGTGTAGCCAAACCAAGTCTCATCAGGCAAGTTGAGTAAAGTCAGGGAAAGGTTTTTGCTTCTTGAAAGCAAGAAAATAATTTTTGCTTTTCAAACTCCAGTTTTTGATGCTAAATCTCTTATAGAAATAAGACATACCTGAAAATATTTCTAATGCAACAGTAGCCAATTTTATTGTACTTCAAAATTGAATTCCTGGGATCTGAAAGAAGGGGACTTATGGCAAACTGTGTGCCTGGAACATCCGTCCAGTGCCAAATTCTTGGGTTCAGCTGTATTTTGGAACAATCAGAGCTGCTGCCTTTTGGTGCCCGTGTCCCCCTCCCTTCTGTGCCCCATTTCCCGGGTGAGCCAAAGCTGGTGTCATCAGTCCTGCTGGTCAGAGGGCTGGGCCTCAACTTCTGCATGCTCGGGTTGTGCCCTGATGAAAGAAAGAATGTGGGAAGTGAGGGTGAGAAATGTCCAGGTCCTTCCCTGGAGCTCGGGCAGTCCTGGCACAGCCGGGCTGGCAGGCGCCGGGCGCAGCAGCGGGCTCGGCACCGGGGCTCGCCGAGCGCCGCCTCCACCGGGCGCTGCAAGGATGTAAATTAGCCTGTAATTTACTTTCAGTAGTGTAAAGAAAAAAAATCACTTTGCCTGAAGTGTATGCATCTTTCTTAAGGGTGTACCCAGATTTTAATTATCTAAATGTAAATACTTAACGAATTTTACTTAGAGTAATGAGCTAAAGTGCACACTACATAAATGAGATGTTCTAATTAATCATGTATGAACTACTGGTTTAAAGAAAAGCTATGTGAATTCTGCGAATGTTGGGCTATTGCCAAATTGCTAATCAGCATTTGCATTCATAGATGGCTTCACTTAATAAGTTGTGAGACGTTCAGCAAATGTTATAGGAAATTATGAGTTTTTAGATGCATAAACTTTTCACTTTTAACTCCTTCCATCACATAATCTGTTGAAATGTTGGAGAATCCTTGAAAATGTGGTTGTCAGACATATTACGTACATATTTTGCAGCCTGGCATGACAGGGAAGAGGGGAGCTAGCAGAGTTTTTGTCAGGTTCCAGCCTGCAAAGGGAAGTCAGCACAGCAGGATGTGTGGAGGCTCGGACCAGGGGGATCCTGGTGGTGGCTCAGTCTGAAGTTGATACCAACATGTCACAGTCTGGGAGTGGTGATGGAGGCTCCCTGTGCCTTCCCTCAGTGCCCTGGCCACACAGCGTGGGCCAGGCTGGGGCACAGTGCCACTGAAACCACCCAGAAAGGTCCCTGGGTGCTGCAGGGGGTACCCAGGCACAGGGCTCGGGGTATTGCCCCCCTGGCTGTGAGGAGTGCAGGTCCCCACTCCCACCCTGCCCTGCCTGAGCTGCACAGGGGCTGGTCCCACTGCTCCTCTCCACAGGGGTCTGGCTGGGAATGGGGAAAGGGATGAGCAGGCAGGAGCTCACTGGGCTCCCCTGGCTGCCCCAGGACAGCTGCAGGTCTCCTGGACAGGGTGGGATCCTGTGGCCACACGCATGGGCCATGTGAGGGTCCCCCAGCCCTCAGTGCTGCCTTCCCCAACAGCCAGGTCGGAGCTTGTGTCCTTGTGGGACAGCACAAACCCACATCTGAGCCTCTTCTTCCTCCACAGGCGTGTAATGAATTTACCACTCATGTAATGAACCTCCTCAGAGAACAGAGCCGGACACGTCCCATTTCTCCCAAGGAGATTGAAAGGATGGTGGGCATCATTCATCGAAAATTCAGCTCCATCCAGATGCAGCTCAAACAAAGCACTTGTGAAGCAGTAATGATTCTAAGATCAAGGTTCCTTGATGCCAGGTAAGGCAGAGGCAAGTGCCCCTGTCTCTTTTTGGGGGGAAGCAGTATTTCTGGGCAGCCCAGGAGAGCCTGGCCATACTGGGGGTGGTGTCCCGTGTCAGCAGGGATGGGTGGAGAGACTGCTCTGTCCCAACAAAAACCTTCAGCCACAGCTGCTGTGGAAGGGACCCCCTCACAGTAGGCTTTCAGAAGCAACAAGGTATTTTCTCAAATTTTAGTGCAAAGACTGGGCTTGTTTTCCCCACCCTGGGCACCTGCACCACTGTTGGAGCTCAACGCCTGTCCCCAGGACCACGGCAGCCTGAGTGGGCTGCTTGCTCCACAGGCTGCCAGGAGGTGGGCAGACAGGGGTTAGGAGGGGGGTTTAGGCACAGTCAGAATTGTTTTGAAGCCTGATGAGGTGGGAGAGTGATCCCCAGCCCGTCCCCTTCCCAGGGCCCTGTCTGCAGAGCAGGACCTGGTGGAAAAGGGAGGAGCAGCCGGCACCACACGGAGCCTCCCTCCTCCAGCAGCTCACGCTTCACACCTGAAAGCTGTGAGGAGCTAAACAAGACCAAAATAATGTTATTAACAAGGAGGTCACTGGCAGGTGTGGGAAATCAGGGTAATTGCAGGCAGTTGGAGGAGATGTCTATGGAGAGCTCCAGGAACGCAAAGGTAGAGCCTGCAGATGTACATTTTAAAGTGATTTCTTTAAAAAGGAGGAAGGTAAATAAGGCAAAATGAGCGGAAGCATAGTAATGAGATAAACAGAGCTCCAGGGAGGGAGCCTGCCTGCTCCAGGACACAGTGCAGTTAGCAGCACCGTGATACTCGGCGAGAGCGCGCTGGGGATTGCGCTCGGCTGCCGGCTGGCCTGGGGCGCCGGCGGTGATTGCAGCAGCCCTGGGGGAAGGAGCTCCAAGGAAATGTTTAACTGGAGCCTTCCAGAGCGTGCTGTAAAGGAGCGCAGCCGCTGGCACGGAGGGATGGCACTGCAGCTGTGCAGGCGCTGCCACCGTAACCCACGTGCGAGCCCGCGGCGAGGGCTGCGGCTCCTGGAGCTCGTGGGGTGCTCTCTGCAAGGTGACACCCGTGGGGCCTGTCCCGTGTGGGCCAGCGCCTGGGCCCCGGGCAGCCCACGGCAGGACGGGGCACAGATGGGTCTCGCTCACAAAGCCCTGAAATCCACTTGCTGTTGGAAGCCAATTAGCTCAAGGAGGCCATGTGAGGACACAGCAGCACGGCCGCCCCGTCCTGTTTAGCATCCCCACCCCGGGAGCTGTGCAGGGGCCCAGCTGACCGGTGCTGAAGGGAAGGAGGGGAAGGAGGTCTGCCAGGCTGGCACAGGGGGGCTAGGAGCTCTGGGCCGGGCTGTGTACCCAGCAGTGGAGGAGCCACAAGGGAGGCGGCTGGCTCAGCACCTGCCTCACCATTTCTGCCGCTGCAGGTGAACACGGCCTGCGCTCCCGTGGGGTGAGCCCTGCGGGGAGGTGGGGGTGTGAAGCAGAGGCAGAGTCCAGAGCCCTGGGGCTGGGTGCAGGACGTGGTGTTGCTGCTGCTGCTCCCTGCCACGGTGTCGGGGAGCCCAGAGGGATCAGGGTGCCAGGACAGCTCTGCTGTGTTGTTCTGTGCTGCAGCAGAGGCTTTGAAATGAACACTGCTGCTCCCCATCCAACCCTGCCCGGGACCTGCTGGCATCTGGAGCAACAGTGGTGTTTTCCTTTTCTCATTTCAGACGGAAAAGGCGTAACTTCAGTAAACAAGCCACAGAAATCTTGAACGAGTATTTTTACTCCCACCTCAGTAACCCCTACCCCAGTGAAGAAGCCAAAGAAGAGCTGGCAAAGAAATGCAGCATCACGGTATCACAGGTAAGCAGCAGGGAGGAGCCCCTGCCCCCAGAGCGTGTCAGTCCCCTGGTTCCCCTGCAATGCTGGCACCTCCCTCAGGCTCTGCGAGGTGGTTCCAGTGGAGGCAGGGGGTACAGAGCTGGGTCTGCCCAAAGCACCTCTGTCACCCCTCCGTATCTGTGTGTTGACATGAGGAGGTTTGCAGGGCTACGGGATGTGGCTGAGCTCTGCAGGAAAGGCTGCCTGCCTGTGCTGGCTGGGGCTGTGCTGGGGTACAAAGATGCTGTGCACAGAGAGGAAGATAAAAATAAAAAGGGGTAAGGTCTGCACCCCACTTCACATCAGCCTTCCCTCTGCACAGCAGTGAGGCTCCTGGCTGAGCCTTGCTCTGCACTGAATTCGTTGCAGCTGAGCAGGATTTCAGGGAAAGGATGGTTTATTGACAAATTTAGGATCTATCTTTATAGATCCAAATTTCTTTGATTGCTCAAAGTTGTTTTTCTAAGCCAATCAGAAATTCAGTTTCTAGCTATGCTGAAGTGACACAAGTGGCTTCTCTGTGACAAAACTGCATAAGGCAGATTTGCTCCTTTTACCACACGTAACAGCTGTTAGTGTGAAGCTAATGCAAGGAACCCAGCACCTCCCCAGCCAGGACTGTGCTGTCGTTGGCTGCAGCTGCTTTCCCTGTGGGCCAAAATACCTGTGCAGCTCAGACTGGCGTCTTGCAGCAGTGCTCAGGCTGAAGACACCACCGAGTTTTCCTTCACCAGGCAGCTCAAAAAGCAGAACACCTCTTGGCATTCCACGTGGCCTGTATGTTTGCTAGAAACCCCAGTTATCCTCACACAAATGTGGCTTGCACAGCCTGGGGAAGAACTTGAGCTTGTGTGGCAGGGAAGTGCCCAGCTGTCTCCAAGTTCTCCAGCCACCCTGCCCCTGTGGCGAGGGCCGGTGTGCTGGCTGCTCCCTGCTCCCTCAGCTCCCTTATCAATATTTCAGCTCCTTGAGAGGAATGGTGCCTGCGGCGCGTGTGTTAACTATTAATGATTGCAGGCTGCAGTATTGGCATGATTAGCAACGCAACCTTTAGCTTTATAATTAAGACCTGAGTTGAGATTTACTTTATAGGCCTCCATTGAATGCATGAAAAATTCAGGCACTTTATTGAAGACTTTCAAATGAAAGTATGCCCAGCTCCTCCAAATTTGGAATTGCTTGACTTTGGCTGCACCCACAGCAGCAGCCCTGGCAGAAGTGCCCCAGGGCACGTGTGTGTGCCTTGCTGTGTCCTTGCCTGTTCCTTGGCACACACAACACACGCCCCACTCCGACTGGGGTGGGAAGGGCCTGTGCTCAGTGCCAGGGAAGGTACAGGGTGGGGAGGGAGGCATCTTCTCCCAGTCCATTTACAAATAGCTGTGGTGACGGGCAGGAAGTTTTTGAGGGAAATTGCACAGCTTGTTCCCTCTCGCATTGCTCCTCCCTCGCCCTTGGCATCACACAAGCACTGCAGCCCGTGGTGGCTGCTGGGCTGCTCTCCCGTGCCCTCAGGCATCCCTGCGGCTGCTGGGGATGCTGGGACCAGCCAAACAGCCTGAGAGCACAGGGCACTGTGCTCTGCAGCCTTAATCTTGCTGCTGGTTTCAGTCCTTGGCACGAGATGCTTTGTGGCAATTCCTTCGGTAAGCGGCGTCCAGAAATCTTCAGCGTGATCCAAGGCAGCCTGCTGTATGGTTAGGAGAGGCCACGCCACCAACACCAACTTAAACCAAAAATTCTTCAGTGTTGGTTAATGAAGTGGGGCAAGATGACATGTGAAAAAGCCCACCAGACCTGCTGAAGAGCTGTTCCCTCTGCTCCCAGTGGTGAGTGCCTGGCAGGGAGGGGCTCAGTGATTCCTTGGTGTGGACAGATAAAAAGACAGATCAAGATAAGGCTGAAGTGACTGTAGGAAATGAGATGGAACATTTGAGAAGCCATAACTGATTGCTTCTAGTGCTAATAGATCTGATTTCTTTCTTAATTGGTTGTTTGATAAGATTTAATGTATATGCTGTAGAATGAAATAAAAGGCAGGCAGATGGTCCAACAACCGAGCAGTGGCAGAGAGCCTGTGACAGGAATATAGGTTTGTCTTTTTAATATTTGATACAGACATGAATTAGTTGTTTCTTGAATCCATTAGGAAGTCTGAGTGAGCGATGGGAGTAGCTGCATTGTGCCCTCCATAGCAGTGCATCCAGCAGCCTCAGCCCTGCTGGGTGACGTTTCCAGCCTGGTCCCAGGGCAGTGCTGCCCACCCAGCCTGGCACCAGGGATGCAGGGCTGGGCCCTTGGCATGGCTGGAACTACACTCTGGCAAGATGATATAAATGACTTGGAAAACTCGGGTGGATATGGCAAAGCCTGGAAATGGGGCCATGTATCATGTAATGGGAGAGGAGCATGTATGAGAGAGAGGGAGTGCCTGTGATCAGCTGGCTGCTTGAGCTCCTGATGGATCTGCTGTCACAGCTAGAGTGCATGAATACCATGGGTATTCTAATCTTTGATTTCCAAAGGCACTTCCAGAGGCTGCATGGCAGCACTGCAGGGTTAGTTGGTATTTTGTAGGTGGAATTGGGCTGAAAAGGATGTATATTTTTGAGGCCATGTAGCAGAGGAGCTCTAAGCAGGCACTAAAGAGCAGCCCCCACACACTGCTCTGGTGACTGACAGCAGAACTCAGAGGATGCAATCCAGAACTTGGAGTGAATTGAGCAGTCATTGAAACCCTGGCAGGAGCAGCATGGCAGGGGACAAGCATGACATCCAAGGAAGTGCCTGAGCTGCACCTTGCTCAGGGCTTTCATGGAAGATCTGTAAGTGTGTGTATTTTCAGCCTTGACCAAGTGTCCCTTGGACCTTGCCGTGCCTGTCACCATGCCCCATTTACCTCCTGTGCTGCAAATACCCTGGAGGGCCAAAGAGCTGGAAAAAGGAATAAATAACATTAAGGGATGGCTTTCCAAACTCTGGAGCTGTTGGCTTGCCTTTGATGAAGAGGCTTTGTCCTTTCTCTGGCTGAGCCAGGCTCCTCTGTAGCCTCTCCTAACGATGATCCCAAGTGTTTCTCTCTTGTACTGTCAGTGCTTTGTACACGCTGGGGGCAGATTCATGGCAGAACATTTTCTCCCTCAAACACTTAATTAGCGAGTGTTTTGGGTCATCCTCCCCCCAGATTAAGCTGCTGACTGGAAATCCTGCTGCCATGGCACTTTACTAAGCTGCAAAGAAAATTGTCTCCCAGAATCGTTTCATTGCAGGTGGGAGATCGATGGTTTCAGTTTTGATATCGGTGTTTAAAATAATATGTAGAGAAGGTTTTTCAAGAAAAGCATAAAGACATACTATTTATTAAGATGAACACCTCACACAATTTCATTTTTAAGAGTGCGGAAAAGGTAATTCTGGGGAAAAAAAATGTCCTTAGCAGAGAAGATTGTCGGCTGTAATTTAGAGCCACCCCATCAGCACACGTTGGAGGGAGATAAACTGTATTGTCTGTTCTCCCCTACCATGGCTGCGAGGCTGATGTTTTATACTTTTGCAGATGAGCCTCTTCCAGGGTGTCACAAACGACCATCAGTCCATCACACGGGCTGGAGAGAGGGCACAGCCAGTGCTCAGAGCGGGGCACTGCACTACAGCAATAACATTTTTCACCGCTTCAAACAAAAGAAGGATGTGGTTGACAAGGGAATATATTTAACATTGTTTTAAAGAAAGGATGCAGGAGCTGGTTTCCAGCACCCCTCTGGCTCCTTCTGCTGCTGAGTGTTTCTGTGAGCAGGTGGACAGGGAAAACTGTGGATGGAGGGGCTCTTACCCCTGGACTTCATGTGGGGAGCAAGGAAAAGAGCTGCAGCATAATGAAATAGTTCTGGAGGTAAAATTCCTGGGTTTAGATCACAGACTGTAATTGTGCAACACTGATTTTTAACATTTTCTGGTTTGTACCATGTCTTAGGTGTGGAACACAGACTGTGTGCTACAAACATGGAGACACAGTGGAAAGATTTCCACGATCCATGAATCTGTAGCTCCCCAGTTCCAGCAGCGATGCTCTTGTGTCAGCTGTGTCCTTGCCGAATGAGCACTGATTTATCCCAGGAAATCACCCACTCTGGAGACACGAGGCAGGCCTGCCCCATCCCAAATCCCACATTAGGCATCTTGATGATTTCAGTAATAATTTATTGTCTTTTTATTTAACGTTGCAATTAACATGATAAATCAGTGCAACAGTATTGTTTGAAATGTAATATACAATTAAGCCCAATTAATTAATTGGCCTTCAATGATCAGGAGGAGAAAGATGTTCATTGTTTTTTTTATGTGAAGAGATAGTTTGTTTTAATAAAAAATGTGCTGTGAGGCAGCTCACAATGGAGACAACTTCCATGTTTGGGGTGAGCACGGGGCTGGGTGAGGAGCTGGGTCCCGGCGCTGACAGGAACCCAGCCCCTGCACCCAGGACTTCCCTGGGACCATGGCAGTGCCTGCAGCACAAGCCAGGTGAGGTGTGCTCCAGGTGGGCAGGGATCTTAAATCCTGCCTGGCACAGCCTGCTGGAGCAGTGCCCTGGCCCTGTCCTGGCCAGGTCCAGCTGCCCATGTCAGCCATGCTCTCCCAGCTGCAGCCCCCGCGTGTCCCCGCGTGTCCCCGGGTGTCCCTGGGTGTCCCCACGTTCCCTGGGCTGGGGCCCGCTCTGCCCTGCACTGTGTGTCACGGGAGCACAAAGGGTCCCTGGGCAGAGGGGAGGGGGCAGTGCCTGTGGCACCCCCGGGCTGCTGCGGCTCCTGCGGCAGCCCCAGTGCCACGGCTCGTGTGAGGAGGAGTTTAACATTTCTGGATATTCATTTAGATGTGGTGTGCGGGTTAAACATAACGTACGAGCACTGCTCCTCTCATTGCTTCCAATTAAACCTTGCTTGTTAGTTTAACCTCTAGGTAATCCCATCAAACAATTGATGTCAAGGAAACACTGCCCACAGTGGCTCTGGATGAGTGGCCATTAATTTTAATTGCCTTGATATTAAAGATTAAGAAGTATTGGGACTAGCAGAATGGAAACGATCTGATGTCAAGCAAATCCACTCACTGAGGCTTCCCCAGGCTGCTGGTGATATTAAAATTTTACTGTGAGAATTAAATAAACCTTTATTAGTGATGGCTGTTGTTTGATTGGTCCAGGGGCGTGCATAAACAGAGGGGTCTCGTGCACATCCATGGACAATACAGTTGATGTGCAGAGATTCCTCAATTATGATACTGTTAATAAAGCATAATCTGATTGTACACAATAATTATTTGCTGGGTTTCATTAATGTATTATTGCTTCCCTGACTGACAAGGTGATATTAAGTGCAATATATAGAATATGGTGGAGTATTATCAGGGGAGCGGGATATATAAGGTGCCTTCCATATTACTGGTAAAGGCCAGAGGTTTTCCATTAATTGTGGTTAAACAAAAGCCTGTGCTGCATCAAATACAGCAGGATTTGACTCCTGCCTCAGCAGGATCCTGAAGTGGGTGCTGTGACAGGACCCCAGCCCCTGCTATGCCCTGTGGCTGCCTGATAACAACTGGGCTGTCACTGGTCCCTTCCCCTTCAGAGCTGGAGTTGTTCTTTTATTGTCTCTGTCGTGTTGGCCATTGTCCATGTTCCAAACTGGGTTTGTTATTTAGGAGCTCTGTTACAGCAGCTGAAGTTAAACAAAGCCCCTAAGCAAGATTGTACAAACTTCCCTGAGCGGCTCCAGGCGTGACCCCTGTGCGGGTTAATAGCCGGTGCCCTGGGAGCCACCTTGGCTTCAGTACAGCATCTTCAAAGGGACATGACAAAGTGACTTTTCAACCATTATTGATTTATATGATTCCTTTCATTTTCAGCCAACCAAACACTATTCTGTGAGTGGGCTGCCAAGGTTGTTCCAGCCCAAAAATAAAGAACAATTGCTCTCACTGCCCGCTCGCCCTCAGTCAACCGGACCTTGGTCCCCCCTGAGCAGCTTTCTGGGTCTTGCACCAGTTTTGCTGACAAATGGCCCATGGTGGTGGGGGACAATGCTGTGGTACAGCAAGCTCCGGGATACGTGCAGTCATCAGTCACTTGCTGTGCCTCAGTTTGCCAAGAGAGCAGCAGAGCCAGGGCAGCTCAGCCCCATGGTGACGTTTAACTGATCCGGGTTAGTGCTCAGTTACCTGCAGCAGGTACGGGTCGTGTTCCTGGCGTCTCAGAATGACATCTCAAAGGGATCCTGCTCTGCCCAGCCAAGCACTTTGTGTCCTTCACCCTTCCCACCTCTCTCCACTGCAGGTGTCCAACTGGT